TTTTCGCTTCTGCATTTGGGATCCATTATCGGATTAAACTTCTGGTCATCACAAGACGCACTAACTTAAAAAACAAAGGCCGTCACGAAACCAACATTCCAAGAGTCCCATACCAGCTCTAAACCGAAAACCAACAAGCCCACTACCCCATCGCCTAGTAGACCAACGGAAACAATGGAAGCACTAAGAGGACCAACACATCTACTTCTACATCCAAATCAGAAACCCCAGAGATAGAGGAGAAGAAATTATCCACCGAACAGAGATGATCAACCACAACTGACAACAACACCATCCAATTTTACACCAGAAAATCATTTTCAAACACCACCACAATCCAAAACAAAACCGCACCACCATCACCAAAAAAATCCTCCAGGAATATAGATCAAGAAACGCCACAAGATAGAAGTAGAAAGAAGAAGTAAAGAAAGCATGCACCACCACAACACCTAAAAAACAATTACAGTATCAAGCACAATTAAAGATTGGGAAAAATTTCGAAAAGGAGACATACCGAAAATGATAAATCATAGACAAAGACGATATTAGGATCTAAACTATGTCTCTATTTGGCCACTGACATCAGGACTCTCGAACCCCCACAAAATCGAATCGCTCCCTAAGAACCAACACTCTAAATCCCCTCAACAACCACATCCCACCAGAACACAAAATCCCACAAGCCCAAATAAATCCGTTCACAAAATAGCACCCGATATAAGGAAAACCAACCAATAGCGGCCAAACACCCCAACCAACACCCAAGAAAGATCGATAAGAAACCGATCACAAAACCACCTCAGATCAGTAGATCAACACTCAGAACTCTCGATGAAACGAGAGAACTCTTAAAGGAGAAACTCTTGACGACGCAAGGAAAATTCTGAATTGCAAATGAAACCGCCTTTATTTTTTTATTTTTTTATTTTATACTTTAACCTACGCACACATATATAGAGGGTATACCATGGGAACTGGTGCCACGCACCTTCCGAATGTCAAACAAGAATCCTCTAACGCACCTATATCACACTTTAGCTCCATTGGACCAACCCGTGGGTGGTAAATTATTATTTTTTGGTTAAGAATGTGACCTTAAGACAAGTAGAAACTCCTGAGAGAGAACCTAAGGGCTCGTTTAGCATAGTTTTTACTTCTGTTTTTATTCAAAAGAAAAAATGAAGTAGAAGCTATTACTTTTATTTGGCTTATGTGTTAGTGTTTGAAAATTGTATTTTAGGAGAGTTTTTAATGCAAACGAGTTTTTCAATATGTTTGTCAAAACATTTGTTGAAGCTCTTCTACTACTAAAATAATTATTTTACCCTTAAATGGAGTTTTTTTTGGGACTATGTGCAATATAAGATAGTAAGATAGTTTATCCTATTTTTTCACTACTCTTTTTCTAAATACATACAAATAAACGATTTGAGAGCATCTCCAATGGGGTTGCCATATCAGCTGCTAATTCAATAGCAGGTGGGTTAAAATTGAGCTCTCCAATGGGCTGCTATATTGGCTGCCAAAATTTACCTTTGCCATTTTTTGTGTCAAATTTAGCAAAACAAATACCAATAACTATTTCTATATTTTGTGCCAAATCTAGCAGAAATATATTGGTTTTGAACTTTTGATTACAAAACAAGAATTACAGACCTTGATATATATATATATGCATACACAAAATCAAGAATTACAGATATCGATTAGTTGATTTAGAAAAAAAAATTAAAACAAAACCCATACATAGAAGCTAGGCAAGCTTGAGAGTTGAGAGACAGTGACTGAAGCTTGCGAACGGCAAACCTGAACTGGAACAGCGGGCGATGGAAACTGAAAGATCTATGTTTTGATTTTTTGAACAATCTAAAATGATTCGCCGATATGGGTTTTGATATAGGTAATAGGTTTTGAACTTTGGATTCTTGCAGACAAATAGATAAACTGAAATATATGGGTTTTGAACTTCTAATTCTTGTAGATTTTGTAGTTTGCAGTTGCAGAGAGAGAGAGGGGCAAGTTCTCAGAGTTGAGAATGAGAATAGAGATGGAGGCGATTGGGGAGGCTAAAATGATTTGCCCTAAAAATATATATATTTTTAATAATAATATAATCAAATATATATAATATACATATATATATATATATATATAATATAAATTTCTGAAAAAGAAAAAAATATATATATTATATAAAAAAATTAATTCACAAATAGTGGTAAAATAATAATAAAAAATTTGTTTTTTTCGGTTCTTTTTTGACTAGATATTTTAGATTTTTGCTTCTTTTTAATTAGGTTTAATTTTAGTTTTCTTCTAATGTCTACAACTTGACTTGAAATGTGCCTAATATTAATATTACTGATGCAAATATGAATTTTGAGAATGATAGTTGAAAAAGAATGGTAATTGTGTCAAAAAATAGCATTTTGTATGAAATGTACCATTGGAGTAGAATTGCTAAAATGTAACATTTTGACACTCTAACACCTGTCAAAATATAGATTTGGCATGCGAAAATAACTTTTAGCATTGGAGATGCTCTAATATAATAAAATTTACCCAAAACAAGCTATATAATAATAATAATAATAATAATGACAACAACAACAACAACAACAGAGATCATGTATTTGTGGATTGTATCTTTTTAAGGAATTTCTGGATGTGGTTGGATGATTCTCTAGGATGGAGGATGGTTTTTTCAAACATTACCACAGTGGATAGTTTATTAAACTGGTTTTTACATCAATCAAGTAAGCTGATGCACACTCTCTTTATTGCAGGCTTATGGGCTATTTGGCAAGAAAGAAACAGACGTTTGCATGGTTCTACATCTAGCACTTCTGCAGGGGTGGCTCGACACATTTTGTTTGAAGTCCTAAATATTAATCATGTCTCTATTCAAGATATTGTTTAGATTGGATTTTTGTGTTTTCTTCAGTATTGGAAATGACTCCTTTATTTTATTTTTTGTTATTCAAGTATTGTTCTCAGGAAATGTCCACTGTGCGCCTGTAAATAATTTATCTTTTATTTATACAAATATTAATTATGAAAAAATAAAATAAAAAAACAACAACAACAACTAAGAGATTGCCAAAAAAAAACTATTAAGCAGTTTAGAAAATTTTGTAATTGGATCTCAATATGCGGTTAAAAATTTGGATAAAATGAGCACTTGTATAAGGTTCAGCATCGCATTCAAGTTTATTTTATGCATCTAAGTATTTGTGTTTCAAATCTCTCACCATCCCAGGCACTCCAATCAATGCACTTTCTTCACTTGATATATTCCAACTAGTGGGGGGTGTTTTCTTACATTTTCATGGCAACCAAAATATTTGAAATTTTAAATTAGATAATAAAATAATATTAATAATATTGAAGGTTTCTATTTTTTTTTTTCTAAAAGGAAAATAATTTATCTCATACTTTATGAATTTTTTAAAATCTAAATTTCACAAATTGACAGGCATATAATTTATGATAAAACAAAATATGTCACACATTTACCCTGAATCCCAAAATCACCTTCTTCTTTTCTTCTTTTCTTTTTTTTTTTTTTTTTTCACATGGTTAAGGTCTATAAAATAAACTAAACAACAAACTTAATTCTATTGTTAGAAAGTCATTGCTACCATCAATTATTTCTTTTTTTTTAATACATTATTTTTCTTTCTTTTTTTAACATCAATATATATTTAATTAATTTTATTGGTTCTAATATACTGTAGTGTTTTGATAAATTGAAATATTGGAGGAAATTAAATAATTATTCAGACTTGTTTAATAACTTTATTTTTAAGTGAAGGAATTAATTTAATCCTTCAATGGGGTTATAAGAAGTTGAAGTTGAAAATCACGATAAACTCAATGACACAACCGGCTGTCACAATTGGTTTCCACACCACAATTGATTTTGAGACCACAAAATTGCAAGAGTTATGAACACTGTTCTTTTTAATTAAAAATGTAATTCGCAAATAAACTTTATGTTTCGGTAATTACTACCATATATTGTTGGAACAAAAGGTTCAACTCAGTTTTAAGGTAAAAGAAAATTAAAGATTTGTCAGTATAGGATGTAGTGTTGAAATAGGAGCATGAGATGGTTATTGTTGTAGAAGCCGTCCGTGCGATTGGAAATAGTCTGACAACAAATAACAAGAATGAAAATGTTGTCGATGATTGGAGGATTGGAGGAATATAGTCGCCGATGCTCTCATTGTTTAGTGGCTCGCTTAGGATTCTACAATTTAATTAGATATTGGGGCTTTAACAATAAATAAGAGAATAGCCCCAACGAGGATCTTCTTTAAAGTTTTTTTCCAGTTAAATGCCTCTAAGATTGTTGTTAAGATTTTCAAAAAGATCTGTCTTCTTCCAAGTATGAAGGGATATGTTGCAGAGAACACATATTGAGTTTTGTTGCACTAGGGTTTGAAAAGAAAATTAACGCTTCGGTAAAAATGAAGGTAGAGGTGTGAAAAGAAAATATAAATGAATAAACAAAGTTCCTTTATTATGTAAAGATGATAGAAGAAACAAAAGAAGAATAGAAAGGATGACTCATCCTTCATATCCTTTGTAAATTCTCTATAAATTATAATATTATAAAAAATTATTGTATATAATTATAAAAATAATTAAAACTTTTTTTTTCATTCTCCCTCAACTAATATAATAAATTATGAACTTAATCTCTTCTAGAACCAAATAAATAAATAAATAAATACACAATCTCTTCTTTAGATATTTCTAATCCATCTATTTTTTTCTCCCTTTGTTCAATTTTTTTTTTTTCCTATCGAACAGTAAATTTTTTTAAAGAAAAAACTTAGAATTTTATTTTCTTAAGAGGTAATATAAAGAATACACTTATATTTAAAATGTTTCATTAATACACCCAAAATTCTTTCGGGTCATCTTCGCTTAAACTCTCTTTAAAACCTATAAACTGTTTTGAAAAGACCCTGCCCAAAACAACTTCCAAATCTAAAAAGTAAAAATAGCTTTCCAAAAGTCAATCATTTCATGTGAAACTTATTACCTATTTACCGTTTGTTATATTTGTAGATGGTAATGTGAAATCCTAATACATGTCCATAAAAATCCATAAAATAAAGAAAATGCCGTGTTCCTTCGTCAAAGTAGCTGTAGCAACTTAAATTTGGAGCTCTAATGAGTCATTATGGAACAAAAATTGCATTACTTCTTGCAAAACTGCAGGAGTATCAGACAGTTGAAGCAAACCCATCTCCAGATTCTCATCAATGGCCTCCAAGATTGCAACTTTATATTGCCCAAACTCATTAATCTCTCTTCAGACCTCATTTCACTTGATTATGCCACTGATGTATTTCAAAGTTCATGTACTCCTAAGGTCAATGTTATTGCCTACAACACAATGATCAAATGCTTCACAGGAAAGTCCCATAGAGGCGCATTGCGCACCTACAATCAAATGAAGGTGGCATTGATATCGCCCAACAGTTTCACCATCACTTTTCTTCTAAGGTGCATTGAATCGCTTGCGGCTTTGAAAGATGGGACAGTAGTACATGGAGACACTGTGAAATTGGGATTTGGTTCAAGTGCTTTTGTTCAAAACACTCTCTTGGATTTCTATGCCAAGTGTAGGGAGAGTTTGGATTCGGCTTGCTTGGTGTTCGACGAAATGCCCCAAAGGGATGTTGTTTCATGGAATACTATGATTGGAGCATACATGGCTCGTGGGATGATAGAGTCCTCAATTCAACTGTTTGATAGGATGCCGGAGAGGAGCACTGTGACGTGGAATTCAGTTATTGGGGGGCTTGCCAAGGCTGGGAATATGGATTTAGCACATTCCTTCTTTAGGAGCATGCCGGTAAGAAATGAGGTTTCTTGGAATTCCATGATATCTGGATATATAAGGGTGGGTGATGTCAAGACTGCGCGGTCTATTTTTGATCAGATGCCTGAGAAAACTGTGGTTTCTTGGACAGCCATGATATCAGGATACACCACGATTGGCGATCTTGAATCAGCAAGGGCATTTTTTGATCAGATGCCGGTTAAAAATGTGGTTTCGTGGAATGCTATGATTGCATGTTATGTTCATAATCATAGGTTTGATGAAGCTCTTTCTGTACTTCATCATATGCTAATTGATGGTGTATGCAGACCTGATCAAACTACTTTGGTAAGTGTACTCTCTGCTTGTGCTCACTTGGGTTCTCTTGAACATGGGAAATGGATCGATTCCTATATTAAAAAGAACAAAATCAACTTGTCGAATCCACTAGGCAATGCTTTGATAGACATGTTTGCAAAATGCGGGGATGTAGAAAATGGGAGGGCAGTTTTTGATCGGATGGCTAAAAGATGCATAATTACATGGACTGCAATGGTTTCAGGATTAGCTGTAAATGGGCAGTGCAGAGAAGCATTAGCACTTTTTGATAGGATGTGTTTAGAAGGAATAAAACCAGATGATGTCTTCTTTATTGCTGTTCTGTCAGCTTGCACTCATGGTGGCCTAGTGGAAGAGGGTAGAAGAGTATTTGATCAGATGGTAAGTGAGTTTGGCATTGAACCCTGCATTGAGCATTATGGCTGCATGGTTGATCTACTTGCTCGAGCAGGGAAGTTAGAAGAAGCAATCAGGTTCATAGAGAGCATGCATATGGAGCCTAACACCATCATTTGGGCCACTTTACTTGGTGCTTGTAAGATTCATGGTAACGGAGAGTTATTGGAGTCTGTACCAAGAAAGATTATGAATCAAGAACCTTCAAATCCTAGCTATTTAATGCTGTTTACAAATTTGAGCTCATCAGTTGGACGGTGGGAAGATGCTTTGAATTTTCGGGTGGCAATGAGACACCGTGGCGTAGATAAAGTGCCAGGTTGTAGCTCAATCCAAATAGGGAATAACGTCCATGAATTTCTAGCTAAAGATACAAAGCATGAACAAAGGAAGGAGATTTATAGGGTTTTGGATAGTTTAAATGGACAATTGAAGACAATATATGATGTGTGGTGAGAATCTTCTGATGGACTAATGTACTTAGAACAGTCATCTCTCGGAAGATGATCTTGGAGAGAATGAGCGATAGGATGATGTGGGGCCGATTTTAATTTGAAAGAAGGATTTTGCTGTAGATCTCAAGAAGTGGAAAATTCATAGTTTGTGCCATCTTGTGAAAGGAGAAGATGATTCAGGTAATGGATACATATGTCTCCGCAACAGATATAATATAATATGAACGACATCTAATTTGTAAGGGAAAAGAGGAAAATGGATGTGACATGGCTGTTAAGCATAAATACTGAAGTTCAGAGTTGAAGTTTCTAATGAGAAGATTGCAAGCATTTGACAAGGGAAGAGAACACTGCGGTCGTTAAATGAATGCAGTCAAATACTGGGCATTGTTCGATAAAAAGCTGAAAGGAAGAATCTGTTTTTTGAACACTGGGAGGCAAGAGGATTGTTGGAATATTTCATGGATGGTATCATTTTATTTTGGTCATTTGGCATTTGAAGGTAGAGATTCAATGGAAAACTAAGATAGTGAATGAGCTTCTGAAAAGTGGCTGCTACAACTCTCGTTGCTAAAGCAGTCGATATATATTCATATTTTTTTGAATCACTTCTGGATTCACAAACTTAATTTCAAGTAAGCTCTTTCATCTCTTAAAGACTCATAAGATGCTTATATTCCTTGTGTCTCCTCCAGTCCCTGTTGCAGCTTGATGCCTAAAAATATGTTTGTTGCAACAATCAAGAAGTTTTTTTTTTTTTTTTTTTTTATCATTCGAAGCCTTATTAAATGTGTGAATACCCAAATGCATGAAATTATCGTCCTTTCACTTCATTTTTTTGTGTTTTTAGTTCGTAAATTTTTTTTTCCCACAGTTTTGGCACTGCAGTATAAATCCATTTTCCTGCTGAACCACTAACTCAGTTGGTATCATCTCTCTCCCGTTTAAAGGGGAGGTTGAGGGTTCAACCCATGAAGGGGCAGGTTTTGGGTGTGTGCGTTTGCTTTAACTTTCAATATATGTGTGTGTATATATATATATAAATTCATTTTGGCCAATGGTAATAATATATAGAACCCAAAACCTTAACTCCTGTATAAATGCCTTCACACACTGTTTTGTGACAGCTTGTTGGCAATTTGAGCTCTTATCATGAAGAAACTAAGATGAATTCAATTTTTTTACTTAATAAGCTATTGTTCTTGCTGTCTTGAGACCTGCCACTAAGCAAAAGCCTGAGGATTCTTGGACAGAACTACCAAAAGGTTCTGTCTGAGTGCCTTCAGCCATTCCCTTCTTTTCTTGGTGGCAACTGGCAAGTGTTCTTGCCCATGTTGAGATTTTTAAAAGATTTTAAAACTCGTTTAAAATATTTCAAATATTCATTTATTATTTTATTTCATTATTTGAATTTTGTATTGTAACTGACGGAATTAATTTACATGAACGTTACACTATAACGTATATAATTTATTGAGTTTTTATTATAGCAAATAAAGAATTAGCCATTTTGGCTTCTTTGAGGAGGCCTATATATATGGCAATGGGATGCACTCAAAGGCATATGCGAAACTACTCTACCACATTTGCGTATTACTTTTCCAGTGATTATCCTATTAATATCTTTCACATATTTCAAATATATTTCACTATTTTGGGCAACTCGACATTGGAGACTTGGTCCTTTTTTCTTCCTGTGGTCGTGCACATAGAGGAGGTGCCGCTGAGAGCTGATCGGGTTGTATCTTGGAGTTGACTAGCACCATCCATACTTGCACGTAGGGGAGGGCTATCAACTTTAGGTCAACGTGTTTACCACGTGCCTCTCTATATCAGGCCAATCTTTCTTTAACTTTACTTTTATATTTTATTTCTTTTACATGTAACGATTATATTTAAATTATGTGTCTATATATATATATATATATATATATATATATATATTTGTATGCAAGTAATATCATATAAAACTACCATATTCTCATTGATTTAATTTATGTAAAACTTACTTTAATTGTCAATTATATTTATATAATATTTTAGTGTGAACAAAACGTGTTTTGTTTTGGAAATTAAAATTACAATACGTTTTATATTATTAAAAAATAAATAGAAAGTATTGTAAAGAGTTGTATTGATTATGTTTGACGAATTCAAATTATTGAAATATACAACAACTTCTACATTATTTATTTTATAATTTGTTTTATAAAAAGTCAAATTTTTGGAAAGGTATATATTTTCAAAAGGAAACAATTTATTGAGAAAACAGTTTTCCAGCACTTACAAATTTAAATTGGTGTTTTTTTAGAACTGTTTTAGCATTGAATATATATATATATATATATATATATATATAATTAAAATTACAATACGTTTTATATTATTAAAAAATAAATAGAAAGTATTGCAAAGAGTTGTATTGATTATGTTTGACGAATTCAATTTATTGAAATATACAACAACTTCTACATTATTTATTTTATAATTTGTTTTATAAAAAGTCAAATTTTTGGAAAGGTATATATTTTCAAAAGGAAACAATTTATTGAGAAAACAGTTTTCCAGCACTTACAAATTTAAATTGGTGTTTTTTTAGAACTGTTTTAGCATTGAGTATAAATATATATATGTATATATATATATATATATATATATATATATATATATAAGGTAGTTTATATAAAGAGAAAAAAAAAAAAAAAAAAAACAAATCAGTTCATTATTATAAAACAGTAATTAAAGAAGTCAATTTATTGAAATCAGTTTTGGATATTGTATTGAAACTGTTTTAGTATTGAAATTGTTTTAAGCGTGAAAAGTTGATGCTTTTATTTTAAATTGTGTATTTTATAGTGTGCATCTTTTTGCTTTAAATTTGACGTCTGATTTATATTTTATTAAAAAGCAGTATTCCGTTTAATTCAGCTTTTGACTTATATATATATTATTTGTAATTAAGGAAAGTTTAAAGTTGGTTGTAAACTGTTCTTTTACTAAATTCAAATATAAGTAGAATTGTTGTTGACAAACCTTTATTGGATTTTTTAGTTTGTTAGAAACTTTCTTTGCCTTTAACTTTTAAAAGAAAAGAAAATAAATAAAGAGGAAGCTAATTCGGTTAAACCCGAAAAGTTTAGTGGCCAGCACTTTAGGAGGTGGCAAAGGCAAATGAAATATTGGCTTACAGTTTTAGGGTTAATATCTGCCATAGAGGAACCCAAGGAACTACCACTATCACCACTGCTACTGCCACTCCAACTTTAACCTCAACTTCGCCGACTTCCACTACTCCTAGCATGTCAAAAGAACAATCTGACTATCATTGTCATAATAGTATACTGAGTGCCTTATCTGAACACCTCTATGATGTATACCATAATACTAAAAATGCAAAAGAACTGTGGAATGCTTTGGAGGCTAAGTATGGGATAATTGATGCGAGTATAGAGCGTTTCTCGGTGACAAACTTCAATAGCTATATGATGGTAGATAACAAATCCATTAATGAACAAATTCATGTATTCCAAGAACTCTTGAGGAAAGTAGAGAGGAATGACACTAAGTTCGGTGAAGATTTTAAGGTATCTTGTCTTATAGATAAGTTACCCTCTAGTTCGACAGATTTTGCAAGAACAGTTGGACATAAGCAAGGTGATCTTACTTTAACCCATGTAATCAATTCTCTTAGAATTGAGGAAAACCATAGATCTAGTACTAAGAAAGAAGATACTACCACCACTAGAGTGAATGTTGTTGAGAGTCCTATTACTTCCAATCATAGGGGAAATTTTTAACCTAGAGGGAGTTTTTTCAAGAGAAATAATAGGAACAATAGGAACAACTTCTGTCATCCAAATCAAGATCTTAATGTTCCTCGTCATAACCATATTAAATCAAAAGATAAAGGCAAAGAAAGACCTTGCTATATTTGTGGAAGGATTAATCATGTGGCTAAGGATTGTTATTTCAAGAAGACAGAGGTGTATCGGCCCAATAATCAAAGACATCCACGAGAACAAGTGAATATATTGGTGGGTCAAGATTCTAGTGAACCTTCCTTGAGGTACAATCTAATTTCTTTAAGAGTGAATCTTACTTATCATAATTGTAATACCCCTAATTTTAAAAAGACAGTCCTGGAATTTAGTTTAATTATTTATATGCATTTTTTTAATTAAATTGTTTAATTGCTTGTATTCTTGGATTTAATTGTTTAAATTACATTTTTAATTAAATTGTTTAATTGCTTGTATTCTTGGATTTAATTGTTTAAATTACATTTTTATTTAGTTAATTAATTATATTGTTTTCTTTTATTGTAAATTGTTTTAAATTAAATATGGTTATTTTGTTTTTAATTGACTAAATTGATAACTGGTTTTATTTAATTATTTTTCTTTGACGTAGTGTAAGTGTTAATTAATTAAATAAGCTAATTGGTTTAAATTATGATTAAATTAGGATTGTTTTTTCTGTACGTCCACGTTGTAGCCGACTTAGGATTGGTATAGAATTAGACTTAGGGTTTTACATGGTGTCTATATATATATTGCATTATACGTTGGTTTAGGGTTACATAGAAATACCCTATTCACTGATACGTATATCGTGAGACAGAGAGATACAGAGAGTGAAAACTGGTAAGGTTGACGGAGAGGTTCAAGGATACACTGGACGGAGTGCTTCTGGGTTGAACCAAGAGCACTTGAGAATTAGAATAGGAGTCTCAAACGTGGACAGAAGCTTCAGAGACAGTGGTTTAGAGTTTCAAAACTGAAACTCAAGGCAAGTCACTATTCTATTCCTTCCGTTTAATTCGTGTTCTGTGCATGCCTAGTAGACTCGAGGGTTTTATCAAGCATTAAACAGATTAAATTGAAGTTAATATTAATCTTGAACGCATGTTTGAATTGACTGTTAAATCGTTGCATTAATCTGTTTGGTAGGCAGTTGCTTTGTTTAAAAACAAACTGTTTGCGTGAGTTTTAATTTTGCTAAACCTTATGTATTTAGGTTTGAATGCATGCTTTTATTTGATTCTAGGACTTCAATTGAACCCTTAAATAAGCTATAAAAATTAGACAGAGTCTCTGCACTTCGCCGAAGGCGAAGAAGATGCACAGAATAGGGGATACAGCTCTCAACGGAGGAGAGGCGGCTCCACAAGGGTAGAGCCGACTCCAATAAAGGGAGGAGCCGGCTCCACCAAGGGGAGAGGCGGCTCCACTTTTGTGGAGGCGGCTCCTCCCTTGTTTTTGTGATTTTTCCATGTTCTGACTTTAGTTTGGATTGTAGGAAGGTTTCTGGGTTGGTTCAGGGGATGTGGATGTTCTGTATAATTATTCCAGAGATGAATAAACTGTTGGGAAGCATGTTTATGATATTATGACATATTCTGAGGTTAAACAAGAAATCTGTATATGAACGATTAGTTAATTAATTAATTTAAACGGCTTTCTGCTTTGAGAAATTTTGGATACTTGGCATGTTTTAAAAATTATTAATCGTGTCCTCCTTATGTTGTAAGCATATAATTATTTATCTGGGAAAAAATAAATAAGTATGCTTAGTTGGAAATAATTGATGATTAAATCTACTATAAATTTCATTAGTTAATGTACTGTTTTGGAGGAGTTTTATGCGTAGTCTTTCTTTGTAAATTTGAAGGACTGGAATAGGATTTCTATATCTGATATTGGATATATAATTGAATCATACACATATTAGATTGTTTGTATGTTGGTTCTGGAGTATAGTTAATAAATGGATATTATGTTATTTTTGTTAACTGTGTTGGATGGAGGATTGTGTGCACCGGTATGGGACGGTGGCATACTAGGTATGAACTAATTCAAACATGGTGTTCTACCTAATCTAGATTTAATAATGGATTAACCAAAAAGGTTAAGTCCATCTCATATTTGTGTCATATCAATAAAACGCTTAAATGACCTATGGTGGTTTCAGGATGGATTGGTGATACATATATCAAACCATAATACAGATGGTTGATATTTTGTATTAGGAGTACA